CGAAAACGTTTATAAAACTGCTGATTAGAGTTCATTTAGAAACACAAACAGTGGTTTTTTAACAGCTCTTTTATGTGAGAGGTTTTGCTTGAATAAATTTTCACGCTTGGCATTTGATACTCGGGTTGTCACCGTTTTCTGTTCTATATAATCTCGTCATGCTGTATGCAATGGTGTGATCAATTCGCGTCATGCATTCGAAATGCCTATAGCATGCATGCGCATTGTACAGTGAATCATGACAGCCAACCAGCCAGCCAGCCTTCTCACTCTCACCTATGTCGCATGTTCGTCACGTAGACAGCATCTCGAGCAACCAACCAACCGACCGGTCGGTCGATCGTCCGATAAAGTTGAACACTTCAGAATTTATAAATTCAATCTGTTGTGCATCTAAAACATCATCATATGTGAATATATGTGTGTGTATACCAAAATATACTGCCTGCCACCTATCTGTCGATAAATATATAATAGATACTACTTTCCGATGGTGATTGTCTGCTCTCCATCGCCAAGCACGCAGTCCGTGCCGCCACGCCTTTTCACGACAAATCGTTTTTGAATTTATTCGACATTCGCTAAATTATTCTCTATACCAACAACAGGCCGTCGTTGCTCTTACATCAACGTGTTTCATTACAATAAACTGAATACTAATAATTAACCGGTGAATATCGTTCATTCGACATTATTTATGAGGATACCCGTCGATCATGACTATCGTCACTATCAGTATTGATATCATCGTCTCATCGTTTCATCATCACAACGAAAGACAAACCGATAAACTATTTCATAGGAAATGCATGAATAATTTTACGATTCTCATTACCATATTCATGATTAATATGAAAAAGGTTGAATGTAAATGATGGAGATTGCATTTTCGAGATATACGGTTAAATACCACTAAAATATTCACCTATACGTAAATAATAAGGAATGTACACGTATTATTACGTAGGTTTGTTATCATTAATGTTATCGAATATTCAGTAGTATCTATCGAATGCTTGTGATTATACACTTCTCCGTGGATGCTTACAAGTGCACTCGCATGCAGTTGTGTATGTGATGCTCATTAGTTATTCATGGTGTTTGATGGTTTCATGTTATCATCTACTCATGCCTTCTTTTATCAACGCCTAACACCTCAATTCAATCATACGCTTGCGAAGTTACAAAGCTCCAGAATAACATTCAGTAAAGTAGGGCCTGCCACTCAAATCTGGACCGTTCGGAGCTCTTTTAAGAGCTCTATCAATGCCACTTGATTGAGTACCGGATGCACGGTACGATCTAAATCTTCCGGTTGAATTTTCTTAAAGATAACTTTATTGTGATGGTGATAAGCCAGAATTCAAAAGAATTAACAAATGCTTCATCTGCGTTGGAAAGTGTTGCGTATTATAAAAATGGTACTGCTTTGTGCTCATGTAGGAATATCTATCCGCTCGCTGTTGGTTCGAATCGCTTGTTTTTGTATCGTTTGGAATTGGAATTATACAAACATAACCTTGAATATCTTCATACAGGTGTTCAAATTTGTACAGATGCATAAATTCTTGTGTGGTGAATAACAATAACAAAGCCTCATGATGCCTTCTCATGGTTTATTGAACTATTAAGTGCAAAGCTCACCCGATTTCACTGCAGTGAACATTTTCGTTTGATTGATTCAGTATCAACTGAATAAGCCAAGCGCTAACTGAATTTATGCCTTATTCAAGTTCATTTTCCATTATTTCCCGACTTTCAGCAAGTCTCGGAAACGGTACGATATTACAGGATATGGTCCGATTAATCTAAATTTGTCACTGTAGATGATCTAATCTTAAATGTGAAACATATTAAAACTCCTTGTAAGATACCTAATCACATCTAATTAGCAGAACCGTAATTTTCGATGGAAAAAATGCCGCAGAGATCTCTGAATAGTTCTCTGTGTATGTGTAATTGAGCGTAGCAAATTTCTTTCAGTTGTGTTAGCTAACTGAATCGGCGAATGTGTAACAGAGCGAAGGCAGCAGCAATAAAGGCAACGATGCTAACTGAACAGATTTGATCAATAATTACGCAAATCTATGTATGTTGAGGAGATATTCTTTTATGGTCGAGATGAAGTGAAGAAATATCGTTTGTTGGATACTTTTTACACTCACAATTTAATACTACTACTGCTGCTGCTGCTGCTGCTAAAAATGCACACACAACACGCACTCAGTTGACATTTCTTAAACATTCAGCTAATATGTTTGTTGATTGACACCCTTATCACGCACTCATTATCAGTGTTTTTGCGTATTAATCACTAACCACTAATCAATGTCCTCGATCGAACAAAAATCAATTTTCATATGATCAATCACTTGTTCAATGTTCAACTGTTAAATATACCAATTGAGTTCTTGAAATGGATATCGCTTAAAACTAATGAATGAGGAAGAAATATTTCTTGTCTATGAAGCCTTGATCATATCTATCGCCTTTATCAGTGAATATCAAAGTTTTGAACCAAATTAATCGCGAGAAAACGTCCGGTCCGTCCCTCTTTATGGCAGTCTTCGTGGCAGTTTCCATACAGTTTATGAGATGATAGATCGGATATGGACTCCCGCTGTTTTGAACAAATTTGATCATTATAACTCTCGTTAACATCGTTTACTATCAATCTTATGTGCAACACTATCTGTCATATCAAGTCATATCAGTTAGTGAAACGATAGAGTTGAGCAATTATTCGTTTTCGATAAATTTGATTCAGTGAACAGACAAGTGAACAGGCAAATGCGTACATATGTCCCACGTAGATGCATGCATCAATCCATTCAGTCGTCCAAACCAAAATGACTAAATGTTTATACAAATAATCTTCTTCTACGTATCCATCCCTTGCATGGTATTCAAACCGTTCATATGAACAAATTTGTATGAACCGAAACTGAGAGGGGATTGCTGACTGACTGTTCGCACTTGCTCGGATTATAAATCATTTCAATCAGTTTGAGTGAATGAATCTGAATAATTAATTGTTTCGTCGTTGGTCATTAGATAAACAAGATTCAACAAGATCAAATCTAGGTAGTAGGTGTATGAAACTGTTCAAACAATGTGATTGGTAAACATCTTGTCGAATCGATGAGTTCATAAACTCAACAAGATATACGATGTGCAAACGTGGAAAGAAGTTTCGAAAGAAGTATGTGTTTGCACATAAATCGGATAAACGAATGAATAAATGCCGAGAAACGCTGCGATGAGAGTTAATGACCTTGACAATTTATTGTCTAGATAAGCGACGATACAAACTGCAGCCGATACTTATGTCCATCCATCTCCATCCTCCTTATCCGTTCGTTTATTCACTTACCTGTGTATATCTGGGTATATCTATCCTTCTTACCTGGTAGGACGGTCATTCATCTACCTGCCTATTATTTCGTTGTTGTGAATTCTAATAGATATCTACCAACTCGCCATAACCCATCGTCTGATTCCACCACGTATAATCAGTCAAACCATTAGTACGCACTCCTCATTAACGTGTTCCTGAACAATTGCAGTTCATTGATTCAATCTTGAAAACCAATTTNAATTTGAGTGATTTAAAATTCACAAACCTTAAATGATAATAAGCTCAGTTATCGTCCGTCATTCACCTTCGATCCATCGCCTTTACCTTTGCCTTCGCAATTACCTTAATCTTACATGACCGAGTCACTCAAACCCTCTTAACGTAACTTATTATTACCTCTCATCGGCGCCTTCTTCTCGATTATTTTCTGGTTTACGGTCGATCCTTCGCCGTTTTGCGATTGCTGCTATACCAAGAAAGTTGTTGGCCATTTTTGTTTTCCCAACGATTTGAAAATCAGCAATCTCCTTGCAGCTTTTTCGAATCGTTAAAATATATTCTAGAATTGAAAATTCGTGAATTCATGCAAATCCTTGATCATGATGTTTGCAGAATCAAACTTTGGAAGGCGGTTGCTGCAAAACAACTTCAGCAGGAACTCGATAGCGATATCTTCGTGTTCTCCTTTAATATTCATGCTGTTGTCTACGATCACACTGCCGCTCACTTATTCATGTTCATCGTGAACTGTCGATCTGCACCATCTGAACGATTCAATTCTCGAATCTGAATTCTCGAAATCAGTGTACAATCTCCAATTGTGCACAGTCAAATAAAACCCAAATTTTATAAAAAATAATTTCCCCACAAACAAAGCAAACGAATCACACGATGGATATTGACTTCGATATGATGTTGAATGGATCGGATATGGATCCGCAAAGCCAGAGCACTTTACAACAACAGCAGTTCTCTGGATGTGATATGTTGTTGTCGGATAATGATCCGAGTATGTGGGATCCGTTCAACGAGGATCTGAGTAATTTTGAATGTACTCTATTCGATGGTTTTACCGCATCTTCAACATCCGCTTCATTCGTTAATGGTAATAATAATAACAATAATAATAGTAATACGGATGGTGCGAAGATGACAATTTTGGACGATGAATGCTTCATTGATAAATTGTTCACACAATTGGAGCAACAAAAAGAGGAACCATTAGATTCCTACGATGACGAGCATTCGTATGCGCATGTGCCTGGTGGGTTTTAATGAAGTACTGAGTTGTTTTCGTTGTTGTTCTTTTTATGATGTTGCATCCTTATTTCCATACAGTCAGTCAACTGTCCAGATTTAGATTACTTAAATCTGTTCTGGACATGTACATTGAAGAGTTCAGGAGCTAACGAAACTTATAACGAGTATAGCTAAACAGTACAATTGCTGTAATAACTTTTGTCTACTCCTTGAATAAGTCAACAGTGAATCAGTGGCATTTCTCATAAGCTATGAAAAAGGAGGCTTAGACTTTTTTTTCCCAAATAACTTTGACATTCGAATTCTAGGAACACCCGGTTCTGAGCGATCTTCCGGCTTCAGTGGCTCAAGTGTCCGGTCGTCATCGGTATCTCCTGGAATGTCGTCGACACTCGATCCGTCTGTGGGCTTGATGACATCCAACTCTGCAGAACAACCACTCGATATACTTCAAGTACGTGATAAGCTTACTGTTGACAATCTGTCACTTCTTGTCAATCTCGCGGCGCCTTCGTCAATTGCCAATTTCTCAGCTTATTGACATTAAGAATAAGTTGATGTTGAGTGAATCTGGCACGTTTCATCTCGATTCGACATATTCATTGTCATTCCTTATTGTGAAAGAGCAAAATTTGATCGTTCGTTGTCAGGTTGCAAGCAGTCAGATATTCGACGAAAAAGATTTCAAGCCGTCCGCATTGCTGCCCTCACAATCTGTTTCATCAGCCACGGCCACGATTCCCAGCTCGAACTCCACTCTAACCTCGTCAACTACCGCGAATCATTCCCCTTACCAACAGACTCATCATTCAACCACCACACATCAACACCATCAACAACAGTCGAGACGATCCAATAATTCCGCGAAACCCCGAACTGTCGTCAGATTCAGTGAGTATTTCTTTTTCCACATAATTTTTCTTTTTCGACCACATTTTTCCTCCTATTCAGAATGCTCGCTTGCCCTTCATTCCATGCGAAATTTTTCGAAATATTCCATTCGGAATGACAAAAATTCCTAATTTTCCGCGAAATCTTCAAAAATTTTCAAGTATCACTTGAAACTTAGCGATTTTACCTGACTATTAATAATTCACAATACTCGATACTCGATTCGCTTTAAATATCCTTAGTGATTCTACTCAGTAGAAGCAGTGTGTGTGTTTTTGTTTTACATTTGTTTTTGAAGTTTTCGGATTTCTCTCCGAAATAATTCCAATAGTTAAGCAAAACTGCAGACGATAGTGAAGAAATTTGTTCGTCTTTTTTGTAGAGGGTGTTAA